TAATAATCATAAACAGCCATTCAGGTCACAGTAGCAGAGATGGAGGTGCCTCTGGGTGGAGCAGGACGGGTCACAAGGTGGAGTAGCCGCTTGGTTCGGACCATTTTCTCTGCTCTGGTCCAAATTATCTTATTAGGATTAGTCAGTGTTAAAGATGTAGTCAGTGATTTTTTCCAGACGCATTTTTTTTCAAATATTGTGGAAAAACGTCCCTAAACCCTAAAAGTAGTCAAGTTGTCATGTGTTTTCAAATAGTAATGGAATTAGTGATGGAATTAGCCAGATTCCACTTTTTTTTGGAGCGGACCGATAAAAATAAACCAATGGGACGCGTTAACCCCCCTTCACCCTCTTCCTGTTTCTCGTAAGTGCGCGCACCTGAGTTATCGGATTATTTTTTTAAACCTAAAATGGCTGAACAGAAAATGCCAACTTCACGTTTGCCACCCACTCTCCCTGTTGTGACAAAGAAAAGAAAGTGCTGGATGTTGTTGGTGGAGAGGCGAGGGGAGGGGGGAGTGGTTTAAAGTTGGTGCTACGGCTAAGCTAACAAAATCGCTTACTGCATCTTTAAATGTAAAAAGTTAATTATGTCTTCTTGTGTGTAAAAGTTTAATGTTTAGAAGGTTACTTCAAGAAGAAAAAGGTGTAAAAATGTCAGATAATAAAGCAGTTCTAGTTTCTTTTGTCAAATTAAGAGAACCCTCTAAGTCTCAGATTAACTTTATAAATAAAAGACAGTTGTCATGAATGTGTTTCAGACATTCATCCTCCATTCATGCATCATGTACATATTGATTCATATTTGAAAGATGAAGCTGACCACGATAGCCCCATACACGGAAACCCAAGCCCAAAAAATAAATGTAGGTGTAGAGTCAAACAGTCAACAAATGTACTTAAGACGTTCTGAGCTTTACGAGAAATAAAATGTCAGTATTGGCAGAGCTGAAGCTGGCTGGATGACACTGTGAACACCAAGGGCAACATCAAATCACTGTGAGGGTCACATTTGGGGCCTTTCCCCAGACACCAGCTATACCCTCCTTTATGTTTACCATGGAACATTCAGGAAGACGTAGGCTCGTGAAGCGCATTGTGAAAGCGCTATATAAATAAATATTACGTACTTACTTTCCTAAGTAAAGTAAGCTTTATTTATATACCGCATTTCACAGACCAGAGTCACAAAGCGGTTTACAATTGTTATTTTTTGGGCACATATCCTCTCACTCCACACAGAGATGGGAGCGGGGTCGCCGAACAGGAGGCGCATGCCAGATCTATTGTACATATTTTTAGTGGTAGGGGAAACCGGAGTACCCGGAGGAAACCTACGCAGACACAGGGAGAACATGCAAACTCCACTCAGAAAGACCCTGGTCCGGCCGGGATTCGAACACAGGACCTTCTTGCTGAGAGGCGAGAGTGCTATCCACTCAGCCACCGTGCCGCCCAAAATCATTAGTAATCAGAGTTCAAATCAAATCATTAGTAATCAAAGTTCAAATCAAATCATTAGTAATCAAAGTTCAAATCAAATCATTAGTAATCAGAGTTCAAATCAAATCATTAGTAATCAAAGTTCAAATCAAATCATTAGTAATCAGAGTTCAAATCAAATCATTAGTAATCAAAGTTCAAATCAAATCATTAGTAATCAGAGTTCAAATCAAATCATTAGTAATCAAAGTTCAAATCAAATCATTAGTAATCAGAGTTCAAAACTACAGTACTACAGAGTTCAAAACTACAAAACAGAGTTCAAAACTACAGTGCCCCAGTTTCACAAAGACTCGAGCCATTTGTTTGTACTCCAAACATAGATATGTTCTTGTTCCCCCGTAGTGTCAGTACTACGCGTGTGTGAATGGTTGGTGGTGGTCAGGGGGGCTGATGGGACATACTTATTGTAGATTTACAAACATTTTTAAGCATTTTAGAAAGAAAAGCGTAGTAGTAAGACTCAAGAAAAGTAAAAGCGCCAAAAAGATTTGAGATTCAAGATTGTATAAACCATTTGCAGTAAGACCACATTGGAAAAACTGTGCAAGACTAACCCAGTGTGCACCAGACAGCGCAGAGCTCTTGCCAAAGTCTAATACTTATCCTTGTAAAATGGTATTTTTTACAGTGCACGCCCCCCTCCCCTCCGCAGACCTTGCACCCCTTTAGTAGCAGTCTCTGGCCACAACAGCTCCATCCGTTTGGGCTGGCGGCTCCATTACGCGCCCGTGTTTTTCGCACAGACCTTGCATTAAGCTAATATTATCTATTCCCCGAGTGGCTGCAGCTCCTCGGCACATGCCATCAATTATTAATCTCGGCGGCTCAAAGCTAATGTTTGCGCTGAATTATTTAACGCTATCTTCAATAAACATAAATGTTAAACAAAGAATGCTGATGAGCGCCGCAGAAAAAAAGAAAAACAAGTTTATACGATTTTGTGATTTACGATTGTGATATGTTACGGCAAGTCGCAAGCGTTTTTTATGATCAATATTGTCAGCAGTTTAAGCGTCGAGGGGCAATTTTCCGAGGCAAACTTTCATCTTTTTTAATGAATGGATTCTTTCACGCCGCATAGAAGCCAACCTTTGCAGAAATGTGCTCTTGTTGAAAGCATATTAGCGAGTGCGTCTCCCCAGGGTGCCATTACTGGTCAATACCCCCGCGGTGAGAACAAAATGAAGCTAGGAGATGTCCAGCCTGTTTGTGGAATGGAAATGAAAGAGCGTGGAGCCGAGGCTGAGTAATGAGAAGAAAGCAGGGGGAAAGGGAGAGGTTAGGAGGCAAACACTGGGGCGGAGTGCGAGGAGCTGAAGTGTCGACATGACTGTTTACATGAGGACCTTTTGGAAGTCTGGAGTCTGGAGGAAAAGAGGGAGACTGGGAGAAAGTCTACGTTACTCTGAGTCTGACCGTGCTCAAAGTTACGGGTTGAAAACAAAAGTTTAACACGCTAGATGTCAGCATTTTTTGTTGTTGTTGAGAAATGGATTGTGAAATAGACAAAAGGTGACACTGTGTAACTTCATGAATTTAAATATACCGGTTTGCCAGCTTTATGTGTTTAAAAACATTAAGCACAAAGTAAATGGAAATGCATGGGACAAATGGTATCCTATGCAGCAAAGTTTCTGTATAGAAAGTTTTCTGGATTTCAGCTTGTGTGTTAGTTCCACTACTTTGGCGCTAAAAGGGTTCATATACAGTATCCGTGCGCAAGATGAAAACACAGTTGATCTTGGGGCCAGGCAAAAATTTAACTGTTTTAGTTATATTTTTAGAGCCAATTTGCGGTCATAGTTTGTAGATGCGCAAATCCATTTATTGTTGATAAAAACATGCTTTCTATGAAGTCTGAATGTTTATTATGTTTGTTCACAAAATGTCTCGAGGACAAATTACCTGTATTATTATTAATATTGTGAAGTTTTTGCGTACAAGCCTGTTTTTTTTCATTAAGTGTATGCCAGAACAGACCTGTGGTTGGTGTCATGGTGGAGTTAGTAGGTTTGCTTCCACCTCCAGGCCTCTCTGTGTGGAGTTTGCATGTTCTCCCTGTGTCTGTGTCAGTTTCCTCCAGGTGCTCCGGTTTCCCCTGCCACTAAAATCATGTGCAGGAGGTCTGAATGTAATGTGAGTGAGTGAATCGATGGTGATGGTCTGAGGGCTTGATGCTCCAATGTGTTCAGCGTCTCTCAGTGAATTCCTGGTTCATAAAATAATCTTAAAGTGCTTTGTGTTACCTTAGTTTTGTATAAATAAAGGTTACTACTTACTACACACCTTTTCCACATGCTCTGAGGGTCCCAATGGTTTGCTCAGGTGCAAAGGCCTCCCTCTCACATGGAGAAATATGTTACATTTGAAGACAAAACATGAGCTGACAGTCACGCACACATGTAGGATGCTGAAGGCCTGGGGCAGTATGGGTACACTCTGCCCGTCCCGCCACCTCCGGTCCTCCTGCTGCAGAGTGTGGGAGTGAGATAACATGGAGAAGGATTACTGACAAAGACAGACTATGGGCAGGGAGTGGGTGGCATTCGCTACACGCAGCTACCTGGGACCAACTTACAAATTGCAAAATCTGTGGAAGCGGCTGAAGATGCAGAGACTGTGAAAACATGTCAACAAAGTTTAAAAAGAATACATTATGAATGGGAAGCTAAAACAACTGGTATGCTAACAGTGTACGTGCTGGAGCACACAGAGACAAAACGTTATTCTGTTTACTGTACAGTGATAAACTCTTGACACCCACTTGTACATTTAGTCAATATTAAAAGCCTCCTTGTTCAGTGTCGCTCTGATTCTTAATGCATCTCAGTAGAAACGCAAAAAAGCTCTGCAAACTCTGCTCAGACCGCAGGATTTTTATATTATTTTCTCCAATAAGCAAATAAGGGCCTGATGATTCAAACATGCGTCGACCGTTCAAGAAGGGTACATCTTTTGAGGGCCCTAGCCTGAAAAGTTGGGGAACAAAGGGAACAGCACTTTAGTTTGCCCTGAGATGTTGATTGCTGTTGCTTTGGAAATGATCCAATATCATATAATGGTCAAAATAATGTGAAAGGAAAATAATGTGAGGAGATTAGAAAGACTTATCTGCACTTGTTTAAGTTTCTATATAAAACATTTTGACGAAAATGACTTTGCATCTGATTGTTTTCAATGACAAATTAATTAATTACTCAGACTTCCAAACAGCAGTTTAAAGTGCATCTCTTTAGTTTAGTTTGATTTTAATTTCCTCGTAGTGGTGTACGCAGTCACAAATATGAGAATTGTATTGATCCAAATCTTTATGACTGTTTACAAAAGCACTCCACGTCTTCTTTACACATGCACTTATTAAACGCTACATTCTTTCATATCACCACACTTCACTAACTAATGACTTTCCCCTCGTTTTCCTCCACACAGCAGCTACACGCGGCCTCATTTATGACTTCCTGAGGCAAACCCGATGCAATCGACAAACACAGAGCATGTACATCATTAAGGCCGCACGATGCTTAACTCTGTGCTCTCCTCCGGGACATGAAGCGCCCGGCTCCTGGGGGCCCCTCCTGGATGTCGGAGATGGCTTCGAGATGACTTCATGTCGTGTTCTCAGTTAAACGCTCCTGCAGATTAAGGGGGGAATCATTTGGGAGGTGCGCAAATTTGTCAATGTGAGTTCTTAGCTTGGAGCTGGATGTGTTAATGTTCTGCAGTATAAACAAATGTGTGTTTTGTGAGAGGTTTTAAAGGAATGTGTGCAGTATTATGAGGCAGGGTCTGAGGGTCGACCCAAGGTTAGCACTGCCTGAATTCTGAACCTACTCGAACTCCCAGAGCCGTTATTTTGACTGCTCTCATTCAAACCAATAGAATTCGGAGAAATTTCCCCAAATAATGTTTAGTTTTTGACATGCTAAAACCAATAATTACAACGGCAACTGAAACAACATTGCAACAACATTGTAAAGCACATAGTGTGACCTTGGTCTGGGAAATGCACTATGTAAATAAAGATTACTTACTTCTTGCTGAGAAGCTGCAGCACTTCTCTGACCATTGCAGTGGTAAAACTCTCCCTTGTCCTTTTAAAGATGTTTTAATTCTATGTTGGCCGACCATTCAACATTCTTTGGATTCAACAATCGGGATTTCTTGGAGGCCAATGTAATCTGTGCTGGATGGAGCTACGTGCAGAGGATTACATTTTTTATGGTCTGAATCTAGATCTGATTTTTTTTGGTCTCCTCCCGGTGGGACCTTGCCATGGAGGTGTCCAGGAGGCATCCGAAACATGCCCGAGGCAGCTCCTCTCCCTATCTGTAAGGGAGAACCCAGCCACTCTGTGGAGGAAACTCATGTGAACCGCTTCTATCCGCAATCTCCTTTCGGTCATTACCCAAAGCTCATGACCAGAGGTAAGGGTGGGAACGTAGATCGACCGGTAAATCGGCTCAGCTCCCTCTTCATACAACAGTCAGATACTGCTACCGCTCGTCCCTTCTTTCTTGAAAATAAAATGTATATCAGGCAAAAAGCATGTTAAGCAGAGCGTTTTTACATGTAAGCAGACAATGGACTGGTGATCTATGGGACTCAATGATGCGCCCCTGTCCCAAGGCGCTCCGGGATGCATTTAGGACAACGGCGGCTGTATTAGCGCTGTGATAAATATACCTCATTAACAGCTTATTGCAGGCGTATGCTCGGAGGCGCTGCTCAGACTACATGCACAAGACCTATAATGTAGTGTGGGGGGGATCACAGATGGGCGGAGAGGGTGGGTGGGGGGGGGGGGTGAATTGTGTCAATTTGTGCATCATTACACAAGCAGACACGGATTACGGAGATGCGCTCACAAAATGATCAATGTCTCTGTCAGTCGTGTAAAAGGCCATAGAATGGATAGAGTGGAGTTATGGAATGAGCACTTGTGCTTCACAGCAAGAAAAGGGCTATGGTTCGATTCCCTCCCCCAGATGGGGATCTGTGTAGAGATTGTATGTAAGTTTCCTCCAGGTGCTCCAGTTTCTGTGGTTTAGATGGATAAACAGGTATTTCAGTATTTTGGTCAGCCGTCCACAATCATCAAAGGTACAAGAAAAAAGGATATTTCTTCAAATCATATTCTATTTGCATTGACATACATGTGAAGAAAAATACATAGATCTACACCTTGACCACTGAAACAAAGTGACTCATTTTGACCCTATTATTTGAATAACTTGATTCCTTATTGTGAGACGAATAAAGGATCTACCAATCTAAATCTTAGAAATAAAAAGTTGATCGTCTGTCCTCAGGGGGCACTGGTCAACAATTTTGCCCTGTTGAAAACTGGCCATGTGGACAGAAGGGATGGGGGGACGTGCTTCTGTCTATATGCCTGATATAGACATGTTTTTGATGAGGAAACATCATAATTCAAAAAAACAACTTTGCTTTCCATGAGTCTATTAACTACTTAATGGCGGCACGGTGGCTGAGTGGATAGCACTCTCGCCTCTCAGCAAGAAGGTCCTGGGTTCGAATCCCGGCCGGACCAGGGCCTTTCTGAGTGGAGTTTGCATGTTCTCCCCGTGTCTGCGTAGGTTTCCTCCGGGTACTCCGGTTTCCCCTACCACTAAAAATATGTCCAATAGTTCTGGCATGCGCTTCCTGTACTGGCGACCCCGCTCCCATCTCTGTGTGGAGTGACAGACTAATGCCCAAAATTAACAATTGTAAACCGCTTTGAGACTCAGATCTGCAGTGAAAAAGGCGGTATATAAATAAAAACTTACTTACTTACTTACTTACTACACCAGCACTACAAGTTGAACTAATCCTTTAAAAGGCACAGTACTTCCAAAATCTATAATTACCACTCCCGGAGTTTCCCAATGAACAACTTGTACACATTTTCCATAAATCAATCCAGCCTCATGTCTGTAAGTGAAAACCTCAGTGTCAGGCCTTTCTCTCTCAGCCACAATTCCCCTGTAGCCTCACACAAGCACGTCTTCAAATTACCACCAGTAAATTCAATTGATTTGAGTCAAAAATGACATTGATTTTTGCCTGTCTGAAACGGCCGGGGAGTCCATAAAACAGATAAAGAGGTCATAACCGCTTTACCAGGCTGTAGACTCCCCCGGAAAGATTTAAAGACCTCGTGAAAATGGCTTGCTTCAAAATAAACCTGCGATTGCATCAAAAGAGCGGACACTTGGACAGGGCCATTTCACCTTTAGAACTGCATTAAACTGCCCACGGGTTTGAGCCTTTTAGTATATGTTTTACTACTGATATAATGAGGTGAACCTGGACATTATACAGTACTGTATATGGAGAATTGTCCGAGACTTTTTGCTCCTAATAAGATTAAGAAAGGCACTCTGTTGTAAAGAACCTATTTTGACTGGTGAAAAATCTATACTAGTTCTGTTCAGCTGTGCATACAACTGAGGGATGCATTAATGACCTGTGATTATTTATGATTTTAATACCTCTATCTTGTTTTTTTCAGCCCTTTGAGTTGCCTTGTGATTGTGCAATACAAATAAGCTTGCCTTGCCTTGCCTTTGGGGGCAAGGACATGCGTTGTGCTGGTTTGAGCCTCAAGTTCTTGAGGGAGGGAGCCAAAAAATGAATCCATGCCGGTCTGGTTTTGTTGCCGAAACATGTTATGTCAGGATTTAAAAACTTAACCCAAAGATTATTTTACAAATAATAAAAAGTATGACATGGTAAGTATTTATTTCCATCATATATTTTTCATACAAAATAAAACAAACAAGCAACAGAAATAGGGGTTGGACAAAGCAATTACTTATTTGGCTACAGCCCAAACACTCTCTGACCATACACTTCCCATTACTCACTTCATGCTGAGGGCTTCAATAGATTTGGAATTAATTATATTTGTCCTTAAATTCTTTGATAATTCGTTCAAAGAGTTGGTCCATGCACTGAGACACAGTGATTGTAAAGTTGTTCTAAATGTGGGTGCATATATTTGTTTGTTTCCTCTCAAACTGTAATTAGTGCATCTCTATCATGGTCCGGAATACATGTTGTATATTAGGCCCTGAGTGTTTCCAGATGCCAGTATTTGAGTGTGTATGTTCTTTAAAAGAGAGCCAAACAACATCCAATAAAAAACCTTTATTAATTTCACATGGAGGAAATTTCAGATAAATCCTGGATGAGAGGTTGTTTTTCCCCATCTCGATACCTTACATTGGAACCTCTGAGACAACATTCAATCACAAACAAAATAGCTTTTTGACAGCCTCTTAAGATGCAACAATCCTCTTACGTTTTATTAAACCAACACAACACATTCTTCAAGCTCTTTTCTTCTTCTTGGTGCCTTTTTTCTGGGACACTTCAACCGTTATCAATCACCAGCTGCCCAACGTTTTGACACCAACTTGAGATTCCACCGTGTGACGTTTGATGATGGCCAAAGTTGACAACATTGCTTTTGTCATGGATTGGCCTTTTAACTTGAAAAGTTAGAGATGAACGTGCCAACCTTCTCACTCATTGCATACGTTGTGTCAGTAATAATCCCAACTTCTCAGCAAACATGAAACCCAATGGTTGTTTATCATGAACTGAATTTTCCCAACTGCAGGAGGAAGAAAGGATCTTAACATAAGCATTGTTGACAAAACCTTCACTTAATCATTTCCACCTCATCCCAAGCTCCTTCCCAACCACTTTTTGACCATATACTTGATTTTCCAACATGAATGCTTTATCTTGATAGAATAAAACAAATGATATTGTCCTTGAGATCTAAAGGTTTTAGAAATATAATATATGGTTCTCTGTGAATTTGGTGGCAGTGTAGCACTTGTGGTCGGATAAATCAGAGTACAGAGTGTTTAGGATTATCCTTATTTTTAATTTCAGTTTGCACTGAAACACAAGAGAAACGACATCACAACGCATTCCTTGTCTGAGCTCACCAAGCCCCCCCCAAGCTGCCTCAACCTGCCTGCGTGGCTCACCTGAGTTTCTCCTGTCTAATAATATGCCATAATATGCTATAATATAATATGTTCTTATATTTGCACATGAAAATTGAACAAAAAAAAGGAGGTGGGTGTTACTACAGTGTTTTTGTGGTTCCGTAGGTCTTTCCTTCCTGCTGCTGTCAGACTGTACAATGAGAACTGCTAAGTCTGTAAATTTTATTCATCTGTAAATAAGTGAATTCTTAAATCATGCGCAATACTGCAACTTCGGGATGTCCACTTAACAATGTCACTTTACTTTATCTACTTATTATCCTGCTCATTGCACCCCCTCCTCCCGACCCAGAAATGGATTAAGGGGTAGAAAATGGATGGATGGATGATGTAGTGATTTTATTGCTCCATTAACTCCCCTTTGCAACTGTACCAATATCTTGCAGACCTTCTCACTCATTGCAACCATCTACTTTTGACGAACAAACTCATAAAACAATCCACTCTTTTCAAAAAACTTTTTGCACAAATGAAACCCAACACTCAGTACAAAGTACAAACTTTAAAAAATAATTACTATTTCATACCAGCACCTTTGTCTAGTTCCAAGCACCTCTCCGTCTACTTGGTGCCACATTCTATGATCCTTAACAATCACCAGTTCTTCCAACTTCTTGACACCAATTTGAAACTTGTTCTTGCTGATAGCCAGTTGTCCATATTGTTATTGATTAGCCTTCAAAATCTACTGCTTACTTGCCTTCATTTAAAGTTCTGCCAACAAACCTGACCTCACTCACACTCACAGAATCTTTCATCTCTAACCACCTTTTCGACATTCCATAACTTTTCAAATGAAACCCAACAATTGTCAATAATACCTCCATTGTTGACAGGTACAAAAACTATTACTAATTCATTCCCACACCTTTGTCTAGTCCCGTCTCGGTTGCATCCAGGGGCCAAGCTGCTTTTTCTCCCAGCGCTTGTCAACCTTTCGCTCCACCTGTCAGATCGGCGATGGGCGTACAAGAGCTTGTTTGGCCCGGCTGTCATCCCAAGCATCGTGGGCCGGGACCTCCCACGTCAAGAGCTCCGGACGGGGATTGAGAGAGCAGGCACCTCCAGCTAACGTGCGGGGCTCCGGAGACGCAATTTAGACAGGTTGAGGGGAAGGAGGGATGGCAGTAGGCAACAGGGGAGGGTACGATATGGGAGATTGGATTAACATAGATGTGCAGCTTGCTACGTTCATCCTTCCGTTTTGTTGTGATGAATATAGCTGTGGAGTTTTACTGAGAGGTGATAGTTATTCAAGGTTTTAAAAGGAAACCGTTTCCTGATACAGTATATACAGAAACAATATTTACAGACAAATTCCCACAATATAATTAGAGCTTTTGATTGATTGCATCTTTCAACACAGCACGTGTTTAAATTTTAGTATTTGCATTATGTTACTGACATTTTGATATTCATATGAATATTTTTTATGTTTTATTTTATAAATCTGTTATTGAGAGTAGGACCGTGTACAGTACATTAATGAACAGTACTTGCTGTAAATATTGTAGCCTTGGGATAATCTCTTTGCATTGTCCCTCGCACTCATTCACCTTGAAGTACAGTACCTGTTTTTAGTGGCATGGAAAACTGGAGCACCTGGAGGAAACCAGACACAGGGAGAACATCCAAACGTCACTCAAAATTGCCTCCTCTGGTAAGAAGGAAGGAAGGAACAGAGGACAAGACCAGTCATTGAACATTTACACAAATGGAAATGGGCAGATGTGGTCGCAAACGGTTTATTACGAATTGCATCTTAATTCATCATGACTGAGACATATGCTGAAACATAAAATGTATTTCAGGAATTGTGTGCAAGATCAAATATGAACTATACAGAGCACATCCACACATATGTAGCTGGCCCCTTATGGCTAAAAAATTATGCATACTTTTTGATGAGAAAGAAACAATTTGTTTTGTGTGCAAAAAAATGGGATTCTCAGGATTACTTAATAGATATGACTTAACATGGTTTGAAAACTTATGAATACTTTTATTTAAGTCTTAATTACCAATACTGACTCACAAATACATATTATGTTTAGGGCCGACTGATATTTATGGATGAACAGTGCTGGCTTTCAACAATATCATGACCTAAAGATCTTGAGAAGAAATTGAAATACTGCCATGCATTGATCTCCATTTGCAGAAGAATCCTTTATGAAGACATCTCCTTTTGAAGCTCTAACTCTTTCCAGCAGATGTGGAAGTGAGCCGGGGCCAAATCCACAGAATGACAGAGATTATAGCTGCACAGACCATGAAAATAAATATGTCTGTGTAGTTTTGACTCCGAGGTCTTTGAGGCTGGAGTGTTGGACATGCATGAGAGCGCTGGCCTTTGTTCAGCCGACTTATCCCCACTTCCACCATGAAACCAGCTCTTCTGTAATGATACAGAGTGAGCAGACCAATGACAGCACTTTTTTTTGACCTGGGCTGAAGGCTACACAAACTCATGGTCACCAGGAACTTGGAACTTTCACTGGAATAAAAACATGGCAGCTTTGCGGGTCGAGAAGTTCTGTTGTACTGTATGTGGAGAACAGAATGTTATTATTGCAAAAGCAAATATTGTTAAACTGATTCACACGGTTAATCAAAAATGAAATGTATCTATTGCAAAAGTCTAGAGTCTAGAGATATACACTCTCAGAGCATTCCCCAATGCATTTTCATTGTTCAAAAGATTCAATAATGTGTTTGCCAAAGGCTAATCTATCCTTACATTGAAACCGTTGGATATGGTTACTTGAAATTCCTCCACCCCAGATAAAGTACACACCCCATACATTTTGAGTGGTAATTGTACACATCAAGGAAATAAGAATGGATTTTATTTACGTGAGATGCGTCCAGTTGAAAGTCGAAACCTGGGAATAGGGTGGAGCCCCCGTCTGGAGGCTTTACGTCACTACTGCACGGTCTCTCCTCCCATTTTTGCGCTCCAGCCTCTCCTCGCTCCTGTCATCCTTTGATCACCAGAGCTTCCTACCTCCAAACGTTCTCTGAAGATGCGTTCATTTCACCCCCCCGCGGGCCGGTCCTCCTCCGCCTCCTCCCTCCGTAACCCTATCTCCACGACTAGGTTTTCGCCCCGTCCCAAGACGAGCCCCTTTTCAGCTGTCAGTGCCGTTTCTCCCAGGCAAGATTAGGTCACACCTGTGGAGAGCAAAGTGTTTAGGGAAGTCGAAACGTGCCAGTCTAGCTCCAGCAAAGTATGTACGGAATGAGCCGTGTTGTTTTTGTTGTATTATGTGGTTTTGTGGATGTGACAGGTTCAAATCAGATTTTGAGAGCAAGAATCACAGACGTTGCCTTGAAGGGCTTTGCAGAATTGTGTTTTTTTTAACTGACATTTTGCCTATTAATTATGTATCTATATGATATGGACACAAAAGTTACATTAGACAGACCAGATGCACTGCCTTTGTTTAAGATGGAGATGTTATATTATTTTATTTCAGTATGGAGCTATTGTTAATTTATCTTGTGTTGTGTTCTCCTCATTCCTACTGTTTTGTAACTGTAAATCTGTAAATTTCCCCACTGTGGGACAAATGAAGGATCTCTTTATCTTAATCCTTTAGCTCTGTAAGAAACACAATCTAACAGTGAAACAGCCAGTAAAGCTGCGGTGCAACACATTTACATTTTACAGAAAAAAAGACTCTTCATCTTGCTATAAAACATGACATATTTTGCATACTTGTTCCTTATGTGTCACTATATGACTCTTTGGGGTGAGAGTTGATTGGCTGGATGAGGGAGATTGTCATGTCTGACAAAGCTCATTTAATGATGGATGTGAAAACTAGTGCTAAACTTTACAATGCTCTAATAATGATGCCTAATGAAAAGCATAGCTTCCAAATTAACTGTAGAAATGTGTCCAGTCAACGTTCTTTACAACTGCTTGCAGTATTTTTTTCTCCTAATGCATTTGTCTGAGTGTGCTTGTTGTAGTGTTTGTGCAATGTTGGCTTCCTAAGATGTTTAAACAAGATTCTGCCCATTTCTTCCTCTAACTTCTGCCAAGACCAAGAAAGCATATTCTCTCAGCCCTAAATGTAATCCATATGAAACTTATCTAACTTTAACCTGAGTGTGAAATTATTATATATTATATATTGTCAATAAATAAACATCTTGCCGTTTACTTTCACTTTATCCGATTCAGTGTTGTGGTGGTAGCAGCTTGAGCAGAGATGCCCCCTCACCCGGGGGAATCAGAGGCATTCCCAGGCCAGTCGGGAGATAAAGTATTTGATGAACAATAAAAGTGAGAGAAGGAATAAAAATAGGCTTTTATAAACATATTCCTCAAAAAATCAGTAATACTCTGTATCCATAAGACATTGATGCATATTTAAGAAGAACTCCACCTGTTTGTCAGATTCGAGGAGAGTAAAAATCGAGAACAAGGCCTTAAAGATGAATATTAGACCTTTAAAGTGATCATTTCTGATCGTAGACTTTTCTAAAGGTGTATGTAAAAGCTTTTTTCCTGCACTGATTCCCTTTTCTTATTTATTCATTGGCCATTCTCGAGTAAACCCAACCCACTTAGGCCTTTACTCTACTTTATTACACTTTTATTTCAGGACTGCCATATCGATTTTTACATTCCACCAGCGTGTGCCCATACATTTCCCCCTACTCCCACTTCCCTCATGCATTTTCTACTACTATTACTGCTACCGCTGCTGCTGCTTTGGCCCCTAATGCCACCCCCCCTTGTCTCGGTCAATAATATCGACGTAATCCTACTGGCATTTTTGAGCGATCCACGGACGTAATGACAAGCCAGCGCTCTGCGGCGAGGTCGGCACGACATCGCTGGTCATTGACAAAGTGTCCGGCGCTTTGATTAGCCCCTGGCGCTAATGCTATGCTAAGCAGAAAGCAATACTCCACCCCCGCTAGCAATACAAGGCCCGGACAGTGGCGGGAGGGGTGCACGAGTAAGCAAACCCTACTGGGAAATTAAGCCACGCCGATGAAATGGTGTAGCGCAGAAATTCTTGGATAAATTAACAACGCAATTACATTACATGACACGCCACAAGATGGATGGGGGAAAGTTGGCGCGGATTATGTTCTGTTTTCCAAATTGCAATTTATTTGAGGGCTCTAATGGATGCCGTATTAAAACATCTCAGGCCGCGGTCAGATTTCATTGTGTGTCACCCCGACTTGATTGATGACCCACTGCAAGCAGCTCACTCCCCCTCCACCTCCGCTCTGCAGCTCTGCCTCCAACAAGATGTTTTTTCCCAGTGTTTTTCTTTTCAATCCGAGCCAGCGTTCCAGCGTGCATTTAAGCCGGGGCGCTCCACCATTAGCAGCGTTTATATAGATCTGGGATTGATTTTCCTAAAGGCGTATCTCTGGACGGTTGACTGCGCGGCTATTGGGTGTCTTTGGATGCCGGATTTATTCGAGGGGGTTATAGAGAAGAGAGGAGATGAGGGCATTGTCAAAGAAGGGTTTTAGATGAGGATGTGCAAGATTGTCATTCACCATCTTTGACCGGAATAAACAAATATAAGAAAAATACAAACTGGCAATTTCAAAAGCTGAAGGATATAGCCCTGGCCTTTCATTTGAGGAAATCAAAACAATTACTTTTTTCTCTAAGTATCTGTACAAATGTGTACAGAGTAAAAAGAGCAATCCAAGCTGCTGCGGCAACAAGTGAGTTTTTTTCAAATGTTGTCTTCTTTATGTGTTTTATTAGTTATATATATATTTATTTTTGTTTCATCTATGCTGGTTGGACATTAAACAAAGATTGCGTCCAGACCAAATGTGTACAATTTGTAACTTCTCAATATCCAATTCACCTGAAAAGTTTCACCCCTATGTTTGTGACATAACGTAGCGCAAATTGGTGGAAGTGGCGTAACTCTGGCCCTGGTCTGAACAAACGCACAGACCCAGACCACAAGCAACAATCGAGGCAGAAGCGCCAATTTCAATTCACACATTTGTGAAATAAAACTGAAAGGTCAGTGAAATAGGAAATGATGGTTTTGAGAAGGTCTGAAAACAAACCCT